ATTGTATTTTCACAGATTCACACAGTGAAAGTTAAACACTTGACATAATCATTATATCTCTACCAAAAAAAGAAAGAAGATAGACTCCCTCTCTATATACAGGATACACATTTAGTATCATTCTGTGTGGAGAAGCTAATCTGTTTCCGGAATAGAGCAATCCAGCCATAATTTCAATAGCCAATTTTTTTATTTATCTGTGTTCATTATGTGGGTTTACATATATTTTGTATGGAAAATAGAACTAATCAACAAATTAATTAGTGCATTTTCTTTATCAAATTTTGTTTGATGACCCCCCCCCCCCCCTCCCCACCCCCCTCCCAACTGCATAATTCTGTATCATCTGCTGTAATATATGTGAATGGATAATGTGAGAGTACAGACTTTTATAAGTGTTTCCACTTTTTTGCCCATTTCATGCTTCATGATTTATGTATGCCATTCATTTATAATTCCACAGATTCAGAAGTTTATCATTAGTTCCTTGAGCCTACATGACGACCAATCATCATCTGGCTTTCTAGGGAAGTTTCTCAGTCTCCTACCTCATCTGACAGACCTGAAGATTGACAAATGTTCCCTTCATGGTGATTTCTACAAAGAGATTGCTGTTCAAGCTTCTTCATCTCAGGTAAAATGTATTGGTTTTAAAGAAGAAAGAACAGATGCAAAATATTTGTTTTGTGTCTGTTTGGAAAAGTGCACAAGGCACCACTCAGTTTCAGACAGAAGGGTTTCCACTAATTTTATTCACATTTCCGTCTGCATGACTTGGCGGCGTACATTGTATTTGATTGTATTTTCACAGATTCACACAGTAAAAGTTAAACACTTGACATAATCATTATATCTCTACCAAAAAAGGAAAGAAAATAGACTCCCTCTCTATACAGTGGCGGATCCAGGGGGGGGGGTGTTACACCCACAAATGTTATAACGCCCACAAATGTAGTAACGCCCACAAATGTAATAACACTTTACCCACAAATTTAACAACACCCACAAATGTAATAACACTTTCCCCACAAATGTATTAATTTCACCCACAAATGTAATAACCACTTTACCCACAAATGTAATAATTTTGAATCACCCACAAATGTAATAATGACTTTACCCACAAATGTAATAAATTTGAAGTGATATTTTGTCGAATTTAAAGTGACTTGGTAACATTGTTGAAGGTTGATGAAAAAAATTGCTCAATTTGTGTATAAAATGTTACTTACTATATTCCTTCTACTGTACTAACCCTCTGACAGGCAAAAAATCCTGAAAAAATACTCAAACCAAGAAGATATCTATGGTTTTCTTTGAAGGTGTCGATGTGAGGCACCTTCTAACAGTGATTAACAGTAAATTCTCCCAACCATTTTTGAATTTTCCCAACCGTTTTTCCATGAAAAAAAGACATAAAACAGGCTATAAAAAATCTGTCAACACTTAAATGTCTGGAATGGAATGTAGAGCCATTTTATTGCTTTGTGAGATTTCCATTCACCTAAAATGTAACTAAATTGTTGTATAGATCTAGATCTAGACCTAGTTGGGAGAATTAAGCAATCGATCAGATCAGTTTTTCCCAATTTGTACCATGAATAATGGTCCGTTTTCACTCAAATGTTCAGATTATCTTTAATTGCACATCTAGCATTGAAGTCACTACCTTAGAACCACTATCTCTCATCTGAACAATGTTACCAAGTCCCTTTAAAACTAAAACCCTGTAATAAAGCATGGGTATAGCGCGCAGTCTTTGCTCCGGACCCGGTTATTTCAAAAAAATTAAAAAATCTTAAAAACTAAGACCCCACCATCTTCCAAACTAAGACCCGGTAATAAAGCATGGGTTTAGAGCGTAGTTTTTCTTCCAGACCCGGTTATTTCAAAACTTTTTAAAAATCTTCAAAACTAAGACCCCATCATCTTATTTCTGTGGAAGAACATAAGTATTGAGCGTAGTCTTTCCTCCAGACACGGTTTTTCAAAAGTTAAAAAACAAACAAAAAACAAAACAAAACAAAACAAAACAACAAAAAAACCTTTTAAACTAAGACCCCTCCATCTTCCAAATTAAGACCCGGTAATAAAGCATGGGATTAGAACGTAGTCTTTACTTCAGACTCGGTTATTTAAAAAAAAAATCTTCAAACTAAGACCTCACCATCTCATTCCTGTGGAATAACATGGGTATAGAGCGTAGTCTTTCCTCCAGACCCGGTTATTTCAAAGGAAATAGAAATTTAAACAAATGTTCGAAACTAAGACCCACCATCTTATTCCTATTTTTTTTTCATTTAAAAATAAATTACATTATTACATATGTGGATACAACACGTCACAAATAAATGATTGGTCGGCGGTCACACGAACTGATGAATCAGTCAAAATGGTCCATATATATAACACACAGAGGAGGGACCGATTCGATGGTTCGTTGACCGTCGACGATTTCTTAATCATGTAAATATTCTAACGCCCACAAATATCCTGGAATTCAATGTTCGTAGAAATAAAAGTAATCGAATAAGTGACCTTAAATGAATTTAAATATTGACGCTGATTGTTTTATGCATGTGATTATGAAATATGTTCACGATATGGAGGGAGGGGGGGGGGGCTGAATTTAGTCAAGTAATAAGAGTCGAGAATGGTACAACAAATCTTCTTTCTCTAATAAATAATGAAAGGGCAAAGCTTCCCGCGCGAAACTGAATTCAGACAAGGATTAAGAGTCGAGAAGGGAACAACGAATCGTCTTCTTTCTCTAATAATTTAATGAAAGGTCAAAGCTTCCACGCTTCGCGCGAGAGAGGGGAAACAGCATTCAAACAAGGATTAAGAGTCGAAAACGGTATAACGAATAGTCTTCTTTCTCTATAATTTAATGAAACGTTAAGCTTCTGCGCGGGAGGGGGAAAACTGAATTCAGAGAAGGATTAAGAGTCGAGAATGGTACAACAAATCGTCTTCTTTCTCTAATAATTAAAGAAAGGTCAAAGCTTATGCGCTTCGCGCGTAATGGGGGGGGGGGGACAGCGAGCTGCCCGAATATGAGTTTTTGATATCTTTTCTCGTTTATTTTGGTGATAAATAACACTTTCACAAAATACATATTATGCTCAAATTGTTGCTCGCTCGCTTTGCTCACTAGCCGAATTGTGAAACCAGAAAATTACTTTTCGGGCAAGAGGCCATAGCCCCCCCCCCCCCCCCCCATGAAGATGTCAAATATTGTACCGGTATGGTGCTTCTAATATGACCTTGAAAAAACGGTCTGCGCAATTTTCAAATTTCCGGCCCCCTCTATTGGAAAATCCTGTATCCGCGCCTGTCTATATACAGGATACACATTTAGTATTATTCTGTGTGGAGAAGCTAATCTGTTTCCGGAATAGAGCAATCCAGCCATAATTTCAATAGCCAATTTTTTTATTTATCTGTGTTCCTTATGTGGGTTTACATATATTTTGTAAGGAAAATAGAACTAATCATCATTAGGTAGGTTTACATACATATTATATGGAACATAGAACTAATCAACAAATTAATTAGTGCATTTTCTTCATCAAATTTTGTTTGATGACCCCCCCCCCCCCCCTCCCTGCCCCCCGCCCCCCTCCCAACTGCATAATTCTGTATCATCTGCTGTAATATATGTGAATGGTTAACGTGAGAGTACAGACTTTTAAAGGTGTTTCCACTTTTTTGCCAATTTCATGCTTCATGATTTATGTATGCCATTCATTTATAATTTCACAGATTCAGAAGTTTATCATTAGTTCCTTGAGCCTACATGACGACCAATCATCATCTGGCTTTCTAGGGAAGTTTCTCAGTCTCCTACCTTATCTGACAGACCTAAAGATTGACAAATGTTCCCTTCATGGTGATTTCTACAAAGAGATTGCTGTTCAAGCTTCTTCATCTCAGGTAAAATGTATTGGTTTTAAAGGAGTTTAAAGTATATTTTTTTTACACCTGAAGTCGTGTGATAGGAATACAAATGAATTGCCGTAATTCGTTTAAGTATTTTCTATAAATGTAACATCTTTTTTTCACTAATCAGGGCAAGAAAAAAAAACAGTAGATGGGCTAGTACAAGTGAAGAATTATCTAAATCGAATCGGATATGTATTCAGTAGTGTGCCTTACACTAACTAAATTGTATTTTTTTTAAAGAACAGACAAACAAAAGATGCAGAAAAACACAAGATGGAAAATTCTTGTTTTGTTTTTGTATGGAGAAGTGTACAAGGTACCACTCAATTACAGACTGAAGGGTTTACACTTTAAGCCCCTTTCACACCGGATCTGCGTAGAGTTGCGTAGTGTTGCGTACCGACTACGCCGAAGTTAAGCTGCGTACGCATGAATAAATTGATGCTTCGGCGTAGTCCCTGCGTAGGTTATGCTAGGCTTGCGTACGATCGGCGTATAGTTACGTACCCTGTGCGTAGGCACCGCGTACCTTCGGCGTAGGCAATTGGCGTAGGGTTACGTACGGTTGCGTAGACCTGGCGTAGGGTTGCTTACGGATGCGTAGGCCTGGCATAGGGTTGCTTACTGTGTGCGAAAGTGCCATGTAAAAATACAATAGACCCTCGTAGGAGCCGCGAGTGTAGCCATTGGCGCTTTATAAACCTAGTTTTTTGCCCTCATTCTACTGCTGCCTGCTGTCCAGAACACATCACTGCTGTTGGAAATACAGTTGACTGTTGTAATAACACAGGCAGAAAAGGATCATGAGTTGGTTGAGCCCTCGGCAAAAAGGTACAATACTCCAGCATGTGGATGCCCTGGAAAAACTAATTAGTCATGTGGCAGAACATGAACGCTTGGGAGAAGAACAAGAACAGAGAAGGAAAGAAGCTAAAAGAAGAAGAAGTGTGTGGGTAAAACCTTGGATCCAGCGCAGGCCCCTGCAGGGGCAATATGAACAGCTGATGAAAGAACTGCATGCTGAGGATGTTTCTGCATTTACCAATTTCATGCGGATGGGACCACAGGATTTCCATGAACTTCTGACACGAATTGCACCGAGGATTACCAAACAAGATACTAACTACAGGAAGTCTCTGGAACCTGGTTTAAAGCTGGCTGTCACCTTAAGGTTTCTGGCCACCAGCAACAGCTACAAGACACTTCAATATGGATTCCGAGTTGCCCATAACACTATTTCTGTGTTTATCCCACACGTGTTCCAGGCGATAATCGATGAACTATCTGACGAAGTTCTCATGTCCCCAGATACTCCAGAGGGATGGAAACAAGTGGCACAATCCTTCTACAACTGCTGGAACCTTCCCCACTGCGTTGGTTCGATTGATGGCAAACACGTTGCCATCAGGAAACCTCCAAAGACTGGCAGCTTATTCTATAACTATAAAGGTTTTTTTCCCCTTTGCTACTTGCAATTGTAGATGCTCAATACAAATTCATGTATGTGGACATTGGACACACTGGCTCTGGTTCTGATGCTGGTGTGTTTAACGAGAGCCCTTTCAAGGCAGCAATTGAGGCAGTCAAACTGAATCTGCCTGAGGCAGACCAGCCACTTGAATACTTCCATGTGGGAGAAGACGCGTTTGCTCTCAAGACTTGGCTGATGAAGCCTCTGCCGCTTCGCAACATGACTCACCAACAGAGAGTCTATAACTACAGACTTTCGCGAGCCCGAAGAGTTGTGGAAAATGCTTTCGGACTTCTGGCAGCACGGTTCCGTTGTCTTCTCGTCACTTTGCCCTTAACTCCAGACAGAGTCATCAAGATCACACATGCATGCTGTGTCCTGCATAACTTGCTGCTACTCAAAAACCCTACGATTGATGTAGCTATAATTGACCAAGAGGACCCACAGCACAATCACGAAATAATCCCAGGCTCGTGGAGGCAGGATGCCCACCTGCCAGACATGGAACACCTGTATCGCGGCAACGCAAGCATAGCAGCAAAAGAGCAAAGAAACTACCTAATGGAGTATGTCAACTCTCCTGTAGGCAGTGTGCCATGGCAAGATGACTTACTGCTTATCCATTATTAGACTAGTGTGACTCTGTTTATGGCGTTACCAAAGCTTCCTCTACCACGCCATTGATGCAAACATCATAATTAATATTTGTTGACAACGTGTCATTTTTTACTTTGGTGTGCTATGTTTATTGCAAAATATACAAAGTAGATGATGCATTTTTCTTAAAAACAGTCGGATTTATTGTGAATAAATGCACAAAGTATTTGACAAGTTTCATTTTGTTAAAAGACGGTTCAATTTATTGTATAAACGAACTGTGCAGTGTACAAAGTATTTTACATGTTATTACATGTAAACATAACTTGATCTTAGTATAATAATAACATTCTGACAAACTGTGACATCCAAGGGGCAGTAGGTCTCTTTTGCATGCGTGAAATAGGGCTGAAACGCCAATTTGCGTAAAATAGTGAGTGAAGAAAATAACATTTATAAACCTGCCATAAGTTCTAAAAGTAAAAAGTGGCATTTGGTACACGTTGTTGACCGTTGACAGTTTTTAGTAGGTATTAACAACTGCTGAGGTTATTTTGCAGTAACGTTAATTTGTTCAAGATTTTATTTCCAAAAAATGCAGACATTTTTGTGGATGTACTACATTATTGTGTTATGTATCATTCAAAAGGGTAATAAATTAACTTTCTTTTGATGTACATTGCAAGGTCACGTGATGTGATATGATACCTCAAAACGCCAACAAAGGAGAGTGCTTATTTTGATTTGTGAATAAATGTGAACAGAAGTCTGATATTTGTTGACCATATCCCTTTTTTCACTCATTTGTAAAATATCATTCCATAACAATTTCCTGAAAGTTTGAAGACGATCGATTGTTGTTGTCCTTTGTCCGTAGCGTTCATATGTGTGTGACAATGTAATGATATAAATGTTAGTCTTTTATTAGATTTAAAAAAATACTTCTGACATACACACTCACTCAGTCTCACTAACAGAGTGAGACAAAATTATTTCTTTGCTCATTTCAATTAAACAAAATTATATTACAAACATACAAACAGGACCACAAACGTACACACAAGCAAACACACCGACCCAAATACATACAGATTTCCACAAAACATAATAACATTTCGCATGAGGCATTAGTTTGTGAATCTTATCTATGTTTATTATTTCAACAGTCTGAGATGTCAACATCACAAATTGAATGAACCATAACAAAACAAAACATGTCAGTCTGAAATACCTTGTAGGAGTACAAACATAATTACAAGCAAGAATACAAAATAAAGTCAAAGAAACACTTTTTCTTCATGAAAAGAATAAATGTGTAGCATTTCCCTTCAAAATAATGATCAATACCTGCCAAGTTTACATCCAGGTATATACCAAAAAAATGTAATGCCCTCTACATTTCTATCGACTTCTTCAGAGCTAAACATTCAAGTATTACAAAATATTGAAGCTGATTTCAAAACCAAAATACTGACAAAAACCTGACATTTTAACACCTGCTTAACACTGTGAAGTTTAAATGAAAAAAAAATAACATAAATTCCATTACTTTAACGGAATCATAAACAGTCATTCACCATCAGCATCGTCTTGTGTGCTGTGGTCACTCCCTTCAACTTGTTGGTCTATAGTGTCACGACAAGGCTCAGTAGGAGTTTTAGGCTTGGGGGTTGATGCTGCCGCGAATCCTGAAACGTTCAGGTCTGTGCCAGACACGTTCCGGAAGGAATTAGGGGCCTGGAGCGTGTGGAACTGAGAAGCAGTATCATAGGCTTGCCGAATCAGACTGTCGGTAGCCCCTTGGTCAGACAGCGTCGTGAGGGTGGAGTAGGACGACAGTTTCTTGGCATGTCCAGCAGATGATGAGCTTGGCTGTCGAGGGGGAGACCAAACAGGCATATTGAGATGGCCGGCCTGCGATCCTGCGACGTGGACTGCTGTGCCTGCGACCAACTGTACTGCTGACCCTGCGATGCACTGTATTGGTGGCCCCGGGACAGTTGACCCTGGGATGATCTCTATTGGTGCAGGAAGGGTTGTGGCGGAAGCTGGAAAGGTTGTGGCGGAGGCTGGAAAGGTTGTGGCGGAGGCTGGAAGTTTTGTGGAGGAGGCTGGAAGTGTTGCTGGGCTTGCTGTCTTTCTCTATGCTTCTGGATCTGGATACTTCTGAAATGATGAAGCTGCTGTGTTGCCTCGAGTATGCATTCCAGACCTCCTCATCCATGTTGCTGGGTTCGTGAAACACCAACTCTGCAAACACCCTTTGACTCTCGCAACCCTTTTCCACGTTCATAGCTTCGGTTATGGTAGCCCTGGTGGACCTGACCTGTCTTGACAGCTGAAAAGACAGAAACAGGAGTAATGAGTAACATGGAGACCAACAAATAAATTGTTGTGTAGTAATGAGAAAGATCACGCGCAAGTATTTGAACTAATGTGGGTTCATGCACGGGATTGTATTGGCTCATAGCCTTCACAACATCTCTCAATGTGTCAGATCGTCTTTTGCTATTTAATCCTGATTGTCCTCGAGGGAGGGGGGGGGGGGTATTTTTCCTCGGGGGTAGTTATCCTGGGGGGGGGTAATTGTCCTAGTGGGTAGTTGTCCTCGAGGGGTAGTTTTCCTCGGAGGGTAATTGTCCTCGGGGGGTAATTGTCCTCGGGGGGTAACTTATGTATTTTATTTTTGTTGTTGTTTTATTTCATTTCTAACTACAATTCAACTATTTTGACCCCCGAAACAAACACCTCAACTTTAAACAAGACCAAATAACCAATGTTTTATCTCTTTTTAGAAAAATTACATTTCCAAATGTTTTGTACACAAATCACAAAAATGAGCGATTGTCGGGCTAACATGCAAAAACAAAAGGTCATGTGACTTTGTAACTGTACGTCAGACTTTCTAAAAAAAAAAAGCGCAAAAGCACAAGACTCAAAGCGAGGAGTCATCCGTATGCGTTCCCGAACAATCAGACAAATTGCGGAGGGGGGGGGGGTCCATAATGGGCCAAAATGCCCCCCCCCCCCCCAAGCTTCATTAGGGTTAATGAGGAAATGGACGAGGTTGGCAGATTTAATACGTGACCAATCCCTTTCTCTTTTCCCCTCATGTTTGCAGCTAATCACATTTTATTTCTATCCTTTGTTCTCTAAACTCTATATGCATGGTTGACATGTCAGAATCCATACTTCAAGGAAAAGAAGCACACCAGGATGCTAGAGAATTACTGGTCTGCAAGAACAGAAAAACAGAACAAGGTGCGTGGTCTAGGACACAAGACAAGACTGGCTTGCCATTTCCCAGGAGCCAGTACTAACCTTGGTCCACAGTCGGACGCCCGAGCAGTTGACAACCAGGATCCAGAGCCACGCTCTGGAGCCCTGGACAGACAAGGTTCAGTTTCAAAGCCTGGAGCTAAGGATGACAAGGATTCAGTTGGAGCAACCACCTATAAAGTATAAGATGCTCAAGGCAGGTATGTTCAAATCAATGAATTTGTAAGATGATGTACATGTTAGTCAGTTTGGACAATTCCTATGTTCACACATTATTCATCACACATCAAACAAGCACAGGCAGCTGAAAGTAAAAACAGACAAACCAAAGATATGGCACCTTATGATTTGTATGCCTCCGTTACGAAGTAGCCGGAGGCATTATGTTTTCAGGTTGTCCGTCCGTACGTCCCGTTCTCGTGATCGCGTGATCTCAAGAATTGATTAATGGATTCCTGCCAAACTTAGGTTATGTATACTGTATCTTGCAGATCCAATGAACTGATTATATTTTGGGGTCACGATGTCAGAGGTCATTGGACTTATGTATGCAATAATAGCATGTGATCGCATTATCATTGAACTGATGGACGGATTACCAATATCCGGACATGTATGTATCTTACAGAGTCAATGAGCTGATTAGATTTTAGGGCCATGAGATCAAAGATCAAAAGGATTATACATGTATATGAAAAATAGCTTTTAATCACGATATTTGCTTTTGTTTAGGTTTGTAAGTCGAAGATCCATCTACTTATATTTGCCAATTGAAGCTCTTTTACAACCTGACATCATACCAATTTTGTTTCACTCATTTTTAATGCAGCTCCAGTTGAGGGTGAGCGATTTCCTGAACGGTAAGTCGGTAAGTAACATAATATACAATTACATTTTAATCTTTCTCTTGCTCATTCTCATCCTATATATCCCCATATATCTCTCTCATCCTGTCCTTCTCTCTTACTCTCTCTCCCTCTCATCCACTTTCTTGCTCTCCCCTTTCTCTCTTCATCTCTTTCTATTACTTTTTTCAACATTCTTCTACATTTAGTATTGCCTGTTTGGAGCCAGAAGGGCATTAATTGATAATACTTTGACACACTATTACGCCTTCTTCACACTCCCCTATTGTCTTACCGTGATGCTTTTTCCATTTCTTTCTAATGACATTCGATGACATTATGCCATGATTGAAAGGAATCCGGTTGGCTTTAGATATGAGCTAGCAATGGATGTAGAGTATCCAAAATGCGAAAGGTTTGAATTATTGAAAACCATTTTCACATCCCAGTTATCCCCCTCATCTCAACCTGGCTTTTAAAGCCTATCTTATACTCCGCTCTCTCCAATCCCTGCACTCTCTCGTTTAAAAGTTTTAAACTCCCAAACACTATTATATTAATGTTAATTGTTTCTCTCTCCCTCCCTTTCTCTCTCGTTTCTAAACTTCCAATCTCCATCTGCCCCCCTCTCTTTTTTCTGTATCTCACAATCTGTCCATGCCCCCTCCTCCTTCTCTTTCTATCTCTCTCTCTGTCTCTCTCTCTCTTTATCATTATCTCTCTGTGTCTCTCTCTCTCTGTGTCCCTCTCTCTCTCTCTCTCTCTGTATCTTCATCTTTATGTCTGTCTCTTTTCCTATCTCTCTCTCCCTCCCTCTCACTCCCTCTCCTCTCTATCTCTCTCTCCCTCTCCTATTATGTTTAAAATGTTTATCTCTGTCTCTCCATGTCTCTCTCTGTCCTCTGTCTCTCTCCTGTCTCTCTCTCTCCTCTGTCTTTCTCCGTGTCTCTCTGTCTCATTCCCCCCTTTCTCTCTCTATGTCCCTCTCTCTCCCTCTCTTAATCTCTCCATCTCCCTACTACATAGCAAACGCATTCACAGCCACGACGCTAAAGGTGAGGGTGATGGAGTTAATGAAAGCCTGGAACAACGTCCTGGAAAACGACGAGCTAAGACGGATCGTAAACCTACCTCACCATAGAGCAGGATGTGGAGGTAGTGAGAATTTATCTTACACACACTGATGGAATACTTATTTGAATACTAACATTGCCTATTTTGATTCCTTGCCATTCTACCTCAAAACAACCGTTACATATAAGTGCAATACTAATTTACTATGCAAACACTTAGTACTTAACTGTCGATCAATTATGCAATACAAGTCATCAGGGTTTTTTCTTTTCTATTGGCATATATTTTGATGAATTTGCTGGGACTTTGACATTGTATAGTACTTATGATATCTTCCTTTCTTTTGTAATAAAATTAATGCTGCATTCATCTTAACAGTATTACCTCTCGGATCTATGCAATTTGTGTACATGTTCTGTATATTATTACTTATATTCTATGTCACTCTTTTTTGTAAATGGATGAACAGATTTTAATATCATATTTGTTGATTATGAAATGTAATACATAATGTTTAATGTTCGCTTGAGGCCATGGGTTTATTTGCGTTTTCAGTTTGTTTGGCCATTGCACGAAAATCCTCTGACAAGACATTAATATTTACGTGCCTCTCTACGCCCAGGTGTAGGAAATATTCACCTGGTACGAAGAAATCTGAATGTCATATTTTCTTATAACGTTTGCTAGCCCGGCAAAAGGTGGGTAATGATAATTTTGTACAGCGCTTAGAACTATAAAAGGTGTATGCATACTGTATTGTGATACTGTTTTACAGCTTATACATTGAAGCACTAAGTAATATTTGTATCAAGTGCTCTCGAAACGTTACTACACATGTATTATCGATATTGTCAAAACCGTTTTTACAGCTGATAAGAAATGCCTGTACACTTCTAACTTAGAGTCATGAAACATTTCATTCCCTTATTCCAAACATTATTTAATTTTCCATTATTTCGTATTTTGCATATACCATGATGGTTGCAAGGTTTTATTAGCATTTGATATGGTCTTTTTTTTTGGTGCCCCTTGAACGTTTAATTTAAAGTGTTTTTTGGCGCCTTACAAATCATATATATACAATTTCTTTGTGTACAGAGCCTCATTATTTCTTGTATTTTTGTGTATTTTCTCGAACTCCAAGCAGAAATCTAGACTTTCTTCTATATATGTTTGGCGTTCAGCAATAAGGGATAGAGCAACGTCGATCTGGCGCTACTCAGTGGCTGCCGGGCTCACGATCAATTGAGCAAAAAAAATTTTGATTTTCGGTTTAACTTAATACAATTTGGAATGGACTTTAAATGATTATTACTATTATTATTATATACATGTATGTATTGTGCAATTGCAAACGGTAACCAGTTCAGGTATCAACAGATTGTTGTTGACGGCAGGTCACACCAGCAGTCTCTTTATTGGAGTCCCAAATAGGACATTCAAATTGGTTTGCGGCTGCTCATACGATGTCATGTATCTCTTATCTATATTAAAACACAAAAGTAACATAACATTTCAAAGACATGTAACATCAAAAAGTTAGTTTTTTCCGGTTTTTCTGTCAATGCAAATGAATGGTAAATGTGTGCAACAAATTACTTGTGCGCATTCACTGAGCCTTGTGTTATAAGATACAGACATGTGAAGCGTAGGACTATATATTGCACAGTTATAAGTCATGTACATACAAACAGTCTAACCTGACTTTCAAGGTCACCCAAGGGGAACATAAATAGTGGCCTCTGTAGGTGGTTGGCTTCTCTAGACAGGTTCTACAACAAACATTTCCTTCTCGAGGGAGACTTAATATATGATCAATATCCATATGCGGCCTTTATAGACAGGTGGCCACCAAGACATGTTTGGTTGTATATAAATAGATAGACAAGTAGTTTATTGGTAAACAAATTATATCTACAAATATATGCATCACGGCAAAGCCGAATTGAGATGAATTTTCAATGACAGAGTGCACACAAATAAACTAATATGGCGTGTGATTCGATAATGAACATGTTACACAAATATAACAATCTTAAAGTAAATCGTAATACCGGTAGATGATGTATTTATATAAGAGAAATTGGAATTGTGATCGGTTTCGATGAGTCAGTCCAATATAATTGTACATGACCATGTAACAAAAATATAACAGTCTTAAAAACAATAGTAATAATTGATGTATTCATATAGAGGAATTGGAAGTGATTGATTTTGAGGAGTCAGTATTATTATGTCATGACTATGTTAAAAAAAGATATCGAAATCCAAAATAATGGTTGATATCTTTTTCATTAATCTGTTTTAGGAATTGGAATTGTGACTGATTTGATTGAGTCCGTCCCATATACAAAGCTTGAAAAATAATGATGGAGGTATTATGTTTCAAAACGGGTTTCAGTTGAATGCACTGTGTATTTACACTATGCATTAAATAATTATGTTTATTTAATTTGTACCTGAGAACATTTTTGAAATAAATTCACTCAGTGTCATTCCATTGATACCAAACAATGCAAACGTGTCACTGTCCTTACTGCATTTTAAAGGACCAGGCCATAGGTATTTGGCCTTGAGTTGTGTTCAATCAAACACAAATTGGCAACTCTTTGACGTATCTTGCGAGCTCCCCTCCCATTTTTCTTTTTACATGAATTTCATAAACTTTAATTTTCTTCGTTATTGATGACGACATTTATTTGTTTAATCAGGGCTTGAATAATAACATATTTGAAATAATGTTATTAACGAAAATTAAATGTTTCTGATTTGTTTTAGTTCATACAGAGCAAATGGGAGGGGAGCTCGCAAGATACGTCACAGAGTTGCCAAACTGTGTTTGATTGATCACAACTTCCAAAAATCATGACCTTCTTATTTTTAACCACAATTTCCTACAATTGCAATGACCTATTCCTCTCATTTTCCTGCTTCTATCTAAACCAACTAAATATCAGGGTGGGCTTCCCCTTTAAGGACAAGTTTATTGGCTATAGCATGATCATGATGATAGTCGAACTTTATTTTTTCTTCAAATAAGGGAACCGTTATGCAGCGTTTAATTCCTTGAAAAGTGCAATGGAAGGAAAGGGGTTAGCTAAAACACGATCTTGCTTGTATTTGATTGTCTGGTTGTTTCTGTTTGTAATAGTTTGTTGCTGTTGTCCCTCTTTCTCTTTCCCTTTCTCTTTCTCTGCATGTCTTGCTCTTCCCGTCTTTCTTTCTCTTAACCCTTCTCTCTTCCAGGCTCCTCCTGTGCCTATATCTTTCCATACCTGTCTGTTTTCCCTGACTCTCTCTCTCTCTCTCTCTGCATGTCTCACTCTTCCCGTCTTTCTTTCTCTTAACCCTTCTCTCTTCTAGGCTCCTCCTGTGCCTATATCTTTCCATACCTGTCTGTTTTCCCTGACTCTCTCTCTCTCTCTCTCTGCATGTCTCACTCTTCCCGTCTTTCTTTCTCTTAACCCTTCTCTCTTCCAGGCTCCTCCTGTGCCTATATCTTTCCATACCTGTCTGTTTTCCCTGACTCTCTCTCTCTCTCTCTCTCTCTCTCTCTCTCTCTGCATGTCTCACTCTTCCCGTCTTTCTTTCTCTTAACCCTTCTCTCTTCCAGGCTCCTCCTGTGCCTATATCTTTCCATACCTGTCTGTTTTCCCTGACTCTCTCTCTCTCTCTCTCTGCATGTCTCACTCTTCCCGTCTTTCTTTCTCTTAACCCTTCTCTCTTCCAGGCTCCTCCTGTGCCTATATCTTTCCATACCTGTCTGTTTTCCCTGACTCTCTCTCTCTCGCTCTCTCTCTCTCTCTCTGCATGTCTCGCTCTTCCCGTCTTTCTTTCTCTTAACCCTTCTCTCTTCCAGGCTCCTCCTGTGCCTATATCTTTCCATACCTGTCTGTTTTCCCTGACTCTCTCTCTCTCTCTCTGCATGTCTCGCTCTTCCCGTCTATCTTTCTCTTAACCCTTCTCTCTTCCAGGCTCCTCCTGTGCCTATATCTTTCCATACCTGTCTGTTTTCCCTGACTCTCTCTCTCTCTCTCTCTGCATGTCTCACTCTTCCCGTCTTTCTTTCTCTTAACCCTTCTCTCTTCCAGGCTCCTCCTGTGCCTATATCTTTCCATACCTGTCTGTTTTCCCTGACTCTCTCTCTCTCTCTCTCTCTCTCTCTGCATGTCTCACTCTTCCCGTCTTTCTTTCTCTTAACCCTTCTCTCTTCCAGGCTCCTCCTGTGCCTATATCTTTCCATACCTGTCTGTTTTCCCTGACTCTCTCTCTCTCGCTCTCTCTCTCTCTCTCTGCATGTCTCGCTCTTCCCGTCTTTCTTTCTCTTAACCCTTCTCTCTTCCAGGCTCCTCCTGTGCCTATATCTTTCCATACCTGTCTGTTTTCCCTGACTCTCTCTCTCTCTCTCTCTCTCTCTCTCTCTCTGCATGTCTCACTCTTCCCGTCTTTCTTTCTCTTAACCCTTCTCTCTTCCAGGCTCCTCCTGTGCCTATATCTTTCCATACCTGTCTGTTTTCCCTGACTCTCTCTCTCTCTCTCTCTCTGCATGTCTCACTCTTCCCGTCTTTCTTTCTCTTAACCCTTCTCTCTTCCAGGCTCCTCCTGTGCCTATATCTTTCCATACCTGTCTGTTTTCCCTGACTCTCTCTCTCTCTCTCTCTCTCTCTGCATGTCTCACTCTTCCCGTCTTTCTTTCTCTTAACCCTTCTCTCTTCCAGGCTCCTCCTGTGCCTATATCTTTCCATACCTGTCTGTTTTCCCTGACTCTCTCTCTCTCGCTCTCTGCATGTCTTGCTCTTCCCGTCTTTCTTTCTCTTAACCCTTCTCTCTTCCAGGCTCCTCCTGTGCCTATATCTTTCCATACCTGTCTGTTTTCCCTGACTCTCTCTCTCTCTCTCTCTGCATGTCTCACTCTTCCCGTCTTTCTTTCTCTTAACCCTTCTCTCTTCCAGGCTCCTCCTGTGCCTATATCTTTCCATACCTGTCTGTTTTCCCTGACTCTCTCTCTCTCTCTCTCTCTCTCTCTCTCTCTCTGCATGTCTCACTCTTCCCGTCTTTCTTTCTCTTAACCCTTCTCTCTTCCAGGCTCCTCCTGTGCCTATATCTTTCCATACCTGTCTGTTTTCCCTGACTCTCTCTCTCTCTCTCTCTGCATGTCTCACTCTTCCCGTCTTTCTTTCTCTTAACCCTTCTCTCTTCCAGGCTCCTCCTGTGCCTATATCTTTCCATACCTGTCTGTTTTCCCTGACTCTCTCTCTCTCTCTCTCTCTGCATGTCTCACTCTTCCCGTCTTTCTTTCTCTTAACCCTTCTCTCTTCCAGGCTCCTCCTGTGCCTATATCTTTCCATACCTGTCTGTTTTCCCTGACTCTCTCTCTCTCTCTCTCTCTCTCTGCATGTCTCACTCTTCCCGTCTTTCTTTCTCTTAACCCTTCTCTCTTCTAGGCTCCTCCTGTGCCTATATCTTTCCATACCTGTCTGTTTTCCCTGACTTCGCATTTCTCCTGTACAGGGTGAAGTTGTAAATATGGATGTCGACATTTAAACCGTCTTCTCTCCCCCCCCCCCCCTCCCCCCCTCTATTGCTCTCTCCCTCTCTCTCACACACACGCACACACACACATTTTTGTATTTTTTTATTTAATAAATTTGTTTTATTCCTCCAATAGTGTAATACAAACATACAATTGAATAAAATAAATAAACGTTTTCAATATTGCTTGCTCACAACTTCACACACACGCACATACACACTCTTTCTCTCTCTGCTCTCTCTTTCTCTCTATCTTGCCTCTCCTCTACTCAATTTACATTTCGCTCTACCTTCTCTCCCTGTTAATTCACATGTATACACTTCGATATACCCATCTGAGTTGCCCCTCCCGGGCTCTTCAATTTCCCAAACTATGCAGTAGGCCTACATGCATTACATTTTCTTGCAAATGCACAAGTATAATTGTATCATGTTTATCTTATTGAAATGACAGCTAGGTGATGGCCTACGTCGAATATCGGCCTCATATATGTGCTGTCAAACTTAAACAAATATAAGTAATAAATGAATATAATCGTTTGTTCATTAATAGTGTTCTCACACAATTGGTTTCACAGCGCTTTACATGGTATGAAATCGGGGAAATCAGTTCAATAAATACGTCTTCAAGTGCTCTTCTT